TCATTCCACATATTAGTTCATTCATCAGATCTATTAACAAGAAAGTGTTCACTTAGACGATAAGATGGAAGTAGATTTGGTGAAATAGTGAGAACATTCTAAAACATAAATTTTGGGTCATTCTTAAAATTTGTTTGAATTCTGATATTTAATTTCCCCTAAAGCACCCAAATGAGTCTACATGCAAAGATTATCGGGGCGAATCCGATGAAGGTCAAACATATGATACAGGGATGATTCCAAAATGAAGTTCACTAATAAGCAATTATAATTACATTTGTAGATTAATCCAGTATGGTCTATATAAAAATGAAAAATTCAGTTATTTTGCCAAATTGAAAAGATGACTTCATCACATGGTTCGCATATGCCATGTGTATTTCACAAATTAAAACTCAACAGAGCATGGATGGTCAGACAAAAGTGTCTGCAACTAATGTCTGCCTCTGTGACGATCAGTGCAGTGAAGTGAGACCAGTAGTAAAGAGATGGACCAAGATGAATTGGCCTTGTCACGCAAGAAGACCTATTTAAGTGAAGAAGACGTAGGAGTTCTCCAGTTTTATTCTTTCAGATCACGCCAACTATGTCCTCTTGGTTCTTCTTTCTCCTCTTGGCAATATTTCAATTGCAAGCAAAGGCACACATTCGTGAGCACTGATTAGCAGATTTTCACTAATAGCCAAATTGTTATGTTGATTTCCCATTTCCACTAGAGGTGGTCAATGAATATAAGCCTGAAATAAGTGTTGTTATTCTAGGACCCTTCTTGAGCCGAAACCTAGGTTCTTTGTTTAGTTATTTCATAGAAATTCGAGAAAAATAGACCTAAAATCCAATGTTTCGTTTGGATATCTATGGAAGTCAGTTGAGACTTGTTGAGAAGTATTTCATAATTGCAAATCGAGTGGTTTAACGCATTTGCATAATATCACATGTGTTTCATTTTAGCTGGCAAGTATAAACCACTATGCAATGGAATAAGTCTGTTGAAGTCCAACGAAGCTCGACTCACATGGATCCCGCCAGTGATGAAAAATGAAGAGGTTGCCAGTTTTAGAGTTTTCTACTTTCATGATGGTGCACTCTCAATGACACTCACCTCTGAAAACGAATTAAAAATTCCCGTCTATGAGAACGACACTATGATCAGAGCAATTGTGAGATCTGTGACCAAATCTGACGTTTGGACAGGTGAATACAAAGTGGATCCGAAGGAATGCCAATTCAACTCAAAACGAAGTAATGACTGTATTTTTCGTGTTATTTTATCTTTTTAATCCTGCCCCATTATTCAACTATACTTGTTTGACAGAAATGTTAGTTTGTTACTGCCATAACCTAAGTCAATAATGAAAAATGTCCACAGTGGTTTCCAGAATGATATTCATTCATTCATTCATATATTCATTGTTTCATTAATTCAAACATTCATTCAGCAAGGAAATAGCCTTTCAAAGATGGATTAGGTAGCAGGTGAGTCAGTTAATGAGGCAGGAGGGGGGGGGGG